TATAACTCTAGCCTGGAATTTAGACATGACCATTCTCATTTGGTAACATTTTAAAGCCACTTTGCCCAGTACATATGACACAATAGACAAGTGGCAAATCAACATTTCTGTGTTTAAATTACCTAGTAAACCAGCTATGTTTTACACCATCCTTATTTGTCTTTAAAGATATTCTATATGGAAAATAACATAAATATTGTAGCAGGAATATATGGCAAAGCAATCTTAGTAAAATTAGCATAAATCCAGAGTGAACATTAGACTCAAAGACAAAACCATGCAAGCCTTTAAAACTTCTTCCAAACTTCACAGCAAAATGTTTCCTGTAAAGATTAATAACATAAAGTATTCATTCAGCTAGGGTTTTCCTTTATCAGAGGTAGCAGTCACTGCAAAAGAAGCAGACAATGTTATTAATTTTATGGTTTACTGCTTTATTTTTTTTAAACAAACGTTCAAGATCATTGTACTGCTGTTAGGACTAGTATCTTCCAATATGTACCAGTTTTAGACAGCAGAGTAATTGACTGTCCTTGCTTCAAGCTTCTTAAAATGACATTACATAAGGCCAGAAGGATGTTACAGAGAAGCAGTTTTAAAACTATTGCAGCGATGCTTTACAACTTTGTCAAGGAATAAGAAAAAAAGCAACCATGTTTTCTGTTACAAGAGAAATGAAATAGTTTTAAAAGATGACGACTGCCTGCCACAGTGTATATGCCCCATGATCCACCTGCACTTCGCTTTCCCTGGTTTTGAACTAGAAAGTACTAATACAAACAGACTACCTACCACTTTCACACTTGACTTGTGACTCAGATTACAACTATTCTGATCAATATTATTGTTGCAGTTATATTGTAGTTTCTAGACTAAAAAGGTGCTTCTCAAACTGAGAGGAAAAGGCTCCTTTCTACAAAAATTAGCTACAGATAATTACTTCCAATAACCTCAACACACTTGAGAGAATACAGTGAGAAACAGCACCAGATTGGAAAAAAAAGCAGCCAATTTAAGCTTTGTTGCTCTCTTCACCATGTATGAAATGCATATAAGTATATATTATTGGTTATAATTTTAAGGTCAGTAACTTCACACATACAACATATATTATGACACCATGCACATGAAGCTGTGAAAGCTGCACACTTTGATCAGAACTTGGAGCATGCCAGGAAAATGACAATATTTCATCTGAATTTTTTTTAGCAAAAACACACACAACTTTTTTTCTTGTTGAGATCTTGGGTTGTTCCCTACCAAAAAGTGTGGTCCACTGATTACAAAAACAAAAGGAAAAAAGTAGAACTGCAACAAAAAATACAGAGGAATCAAATTGTGCACTACTTCGCATCAATTTACTCCATTACTCAATTTACTTAGTAAGACAAACAGGAGAAATACAAACTGGTTTGATAGCATTTCCAAACTGTGTTTCATGCACACTTCCGAATCTCTTCAGGAGGTTGGGACTAGTTTCTGGATAATCCACATCATAGGGGCTTCATGAAAAAACATTACTTTTGTGGAGATTTACTACCTGTTATAACCTTTCTAAAGGCAAATGTATAAAAAATCCACCTGCATTTTCAAAAAAAAAAAATCTTTTGAAATTTCTTTGTGAAACCTCTCCACTTCTGCATAATAATTGTCGTATGTGTTTCATCAGAAATATTTTTAGCATTATTTTCTGTATTGCTTCCTGTAATTTTGAGGTCTTAAGAGGGAAGGAAAACACTTTCTAGAACTTCTTGGAAAAGGAAGTTCAAAACCTGTTCAACATCCTCTAGCCACCTTTAAGCCTCAGATAAAACCTGGCTTTAGGGCATAAAAATTCAGGTTCAGTTTCAGTGAACAAGCCACACTTCAGAGACATGTAAATCTTTCTTCAGGTTTCACACTCTGTAAGTCAGCCATATCCCAATTTCATCAACGTTAAACTATAAATCCCAATAATCAACACCCACCACTGGGCATATACCATTTCTACTCAGGATGCAGAGGGGACATACTCTGTCCAGTGCGATTGAAGAACAGAGAAAATCGGAGTTCTTCCATCAAGTAATTTTTAAAATATGGCCTTAAAGTTTCTTTTCAGACAGTGTCAATATTACCTTTTCTGAACTCCCAAGAAACAGCAACTAGAAACTGTTTTCAGAATACCTTCAAACTAGACACCATACCTAATAATTTTCTTATTCATTCTAATAAATCAATACATTTTGCAACAGTCCTCTAAAAAAGGGCTACTTGTTCTTGTTGCAGCATCCTCTTTTCTGAAAAATGCTCTGAAAACCTTTTGATACTGGCAAAGTTTTTAACCATGGGACACCTAGGCATATAAATTGAAAGGGAGAAAAAAATGGGAGTGGGAAAAAAGGGACAAAGGGGAGGGAAACAAAACTGACATACATAGAACTATTCTGCTTGGATTTTTTTCTAATTAAGAAGTCTTTTAAACTCGAAAAGTTGTCATAATATTGGGTTGTTCTCTAGCTTGCTCTACTTTTAACTTATTATTATAGATGATTTCATATAAGAACTTCTGTGACTTTCCTTTCTGAGTCACTGAAAATCGTTTCAGGGATTTCTGCCTGCCTAAATCCAGCAGCACTGTGCTAGCTCTAAGCAACACAAAATGTGCAGGAATTGATATACCCTTTCATTCTGTTACAAGTCAGTGCAGTGAAAGATTAAGACGTGTTTCCAAAGTACTAAAGCATATTTTTTACATGAGCAGTAGCTGTTAAACCCCAGCACGTCAGAATCTCCCAGCAGAATGATGACTTGCTAAAGGGTTAGGAAATGGAGACTGTTGACACAGCAGATTAATGCATTTGTTTGTTTACTCGCAGTCTCTCCTCAAGTAATATTATATCTATTTCAGGTTTAATGACATTAGATTACATTTTTATACTGTCAGGTTTATTCTTCTCTGTAATATTTGTATATTAATAACAGGGTGGATAGGTAAGCGAATGGGGATGGCAGAAAAGAGAATTTTCTCTTGACTACTGTGCATCTGGTTCAAACAATGGTATTTTTGCTTTGAGTAACAAAGACAGCAGAGCATTCATTTGCATTCAATCCAATCCTTATGCCTACCTTTCCACTGAATCAGCCTTGTGCATTTTAAAAGACAATTTTTGTAACAATGTTGTCGTGAATAACAACTACAAAAGTTATGCAGACTACACCTCACGCAACATGGGTTGGATCCATCGTGCTTTTCACCACTAGGTGTAAATGGCATGCTGCCAGTAACTACATTAGAGTTGAATGCACTTTCTTTTCGGCAGCAGAAAGTACAATGACAATTATTATCACAGTGTTGAGTAAAAATATAATTTAGCCCAACCAATATGCACATTGTACTGCATAGGCAGACACAGGATAATTTAGTTTGGAAGGGATATCAGGATGTCTCAAGTCCAGCCTTCTATTCAAAGGACACCTAGCTATAACACAGATTGGGTCACTGTCTGATCTTGAACACCTCAAAGAATGGAAATTGCACAAACTCTCTTGGAAATCCAATCCTCTGCTTGAGTGTCCTCAGAGTGAAAAATATCCCACAATGCTGTGATAGTCTCTTCATATAAAATCAATTCAGTACATGTTTCTGTAATTCAGTTTGTGTCACGAGACCTCTACAATACAAATAGCATTTCATATTGGCATGATTTAGCTTAAAATGCTATGATTTACCAACCAGCGGGCTGTTTTGACTAGAATTGGTCAAGCACAGTTGTAACCTATTAAAAGCTTTTATACTACTGCCTAGCTTTCAAGGAGCACAATGAGAAAGCTACAAGGATCATATACAAAGAAATACTGTCTCACCTGAGTGCACCAAATTACTGTTAAATTTCTTCAGACTCAAAAGAAGTAATCTCTGAAAAATGGTATCATGCTTCCAAGTGAAAATCAAATTACATATTGAACAACAATGTATGTTTTTCTTGGTCTCCTGATAAATAGTAAGCTATAGAATTTATCATTTTCATTAGTAAATTATAATTTTAGTAGTTAAAAGGATCAATCCAATTTCTACTGAATCAATGACAATTTTGAAATTTCCTTCATTGATTGCAAGATCAAATAAATAGAATTAGGATTT